TAGCACATTTTGTTTAATACATTTTTATATGTAATACATTTTTTGTAATAATAATGTTATATAATTTTTAATCTATTTTCTTCCTGTCATTCTGCATATGAAAATATTAAGGTGAAAAAGATAATTAAAAAATATATATTTTACGAATTATTTCATGTTTTCTATCATTTTTAAAGTTTTCATTTGCGTGCGTGTATGTGTGTGTGTGTGTGTGTGTGTGTCTGTGTGTGTCTGTGTGTGTGTCTGTGTGTGTTCATTAACAATTAAGTAAATTTCATTAACATTTTGACTTAAAATTGACTTAAAATTTAATCCAATTTTGATCTAAAACAAGATAAAATTACTTATCGTGCTGATTACGAAATATATCTTATGAATCTTTGTAATATTTCAATTATAAAAAGAAATAAATTACACACAATATATATATGTGTGTGTAATTAATTTTTTTTCATGATATATTTTCTAATCAACATGTGTCAGTAATTCTATTTTCTATTTTTATAGAAAATTAATTATTTAACGATCAATTCAAATGTTAATGAATTAAATGATTTGAATTTTATATAATCATGCAATTTTACATGATTGTCACGATTATAATTAATCTTTTATTTAAATTTATTTTGCGCACACGCACGCACGCACGCACCACGCACACACGCACACATGCATGCATGTATTATGTGTGTATTTATTTATATTTATGTTTATGGTTACACTGAAAGCATTGGGGATGAATTGGATCTTATTATGCGTGGAAAATTACGCGTATTCGTACAGTTATACAATTTCTTAATAAATTTTAGAATCTAATTTTATATTGTATATTGTCAGAACAATTAATTTAGAATTTTAATAATCTGACAAGTTATTAAGAAGTCATTAAGATAGATGATTCATTTTATAATGAAAACTATAATGTAAAATATAATGTATTGAATGTATTGAATGTATCTTTATAAAATTAAAATTTATTCTCCATTTTTTAAATAAATATGTTACAAAAAGCAAGAAGAGATAACACATGCATATTATAAAAATAATTTTAAAGTGCATATATAGAAAAAAGAATTTATGCGAATAAAAAGCAGAATTATATACTCAAATATTCATATTTGATACCATGTAGCCGATAAGTAAATGCTAGAAGAGCATCTTTATCCAAAGGTAAGTCAATATACCGTAATCCATGTGTAATGCTTGACACTATGGAATAGAAATAAGATGGAGCTTCATTCAAATAATTTACCAAAATACCGTTGCTTATCTTTTGACATAATTCGCGAGTTTCCTCTACAGTTTTACAACATATGTTTATTTTGTTAATAACGACAAATAATTAATAAAACTTGAGGAGAAAGGCGACAAAACAGGAAGCTAATACATATCTACTAGTTATTGAAAAAATACGTGCCTGTGAAGTGTGATATATACACATTTGAATATGTATATATCATACACACGAAAAAAAATCTTATTATGCGTGGAAAATTACGCGTATTCGTACAGTCATACAATTTCTTAATGAATTTTAGAATCTAATTTGTCAAAGCAAATAGTTTAGAATTTTAATAATCTGACAAGTTATTAAGAAGTCATTAAGGGATGATTCATTTTGATGAAAACTAAAATTTGAAAGAACGAAAGTAATTTATTCGTGCTAACCGCCATTAAGTGATAAATAAATTCAGGAAATATCTCAAATATTTAATGCTGCGATATCGTTTAAAAATCATAATATGTGTTAAAAGGTAATATACCATATTATAATATTTTTTATCTAGACCTTATAAACAAATAATTTTATAATATATTTGTAAAAAATTAAATTTTTTAGAGTTTTTAAGAGTTAAGGAACGATAATTAGAGCGTAAAAGAAAAGGTTTTCTCTTCTTTCTTGTGTGCCAATTACGACGCCTTGGCTCTAACTCATTAATTTTTAACTTGTTAATTTTAAAATTTTTAATTAATATTTTTTAATTGTTATTATTTGAACCAATTTTTTATTTTAATTTTAATATATTTATGTGTACGGTTAGTAATGCATTTAATTTTTTATATTTATTTAATGAAAAAATACGTGCCTGTAAAGTGATATATACACACTTGAATATGTATATATCATAGACACGAAAAAAAATCTTACAAAAACCTTTTACAATATTTATCTTCTAAAGAATGTAAAACATCTTTAAATCGTTTTTTAGATACTTTTTCAGGACATATGCTATATGGGTAGACCGCATACATAAATATTGGGTTGGCAACTAAGTTCCCGCCGTTTTTTTAAATTTTTTAAAAGTTTATTTTTCAATAAAAATTAACAACTAATTAAGCAATAATGTATTCTCCCTTGTTTACAACTTTTCAAAAACGGCGGGAACTTAGTTGCCAACCTAATATATTATAAAACTGTCTGTCACTGTGTGTATGTGTATTTAAAAAATCTTAATAATTAACAATAAGTTAATTAATAATTTTACTACACGCTTTCTCTTTTTAAATTGCGGCAACCATTCTAATATAATAATTAATTACTTTAATACTACACATATATTACACCCACTAGCTTAGTACGATTATATATATACATATATATATATATATATATATATATATATTTATATATATGTATATATTTATATGTATGTATATATTTATATTTAAAATTATGTCTAAAAATTTTTATTTTCTTCCATGAAACCTACTATTTGCAATTTACATCAGTTCTTCAATTAATAAGATCTTTTTGATCTTTTCTTTATTCGATTTAAAATACTCACCGTCATTAATATGTTTTTCCTTCATTTCGCTGTTTCGTGTTTTTATTTAAAGTGATTTATAAGTCGTCAATTAATAATATTAAACATAATATTACAAATTATTTTCACAAGACACAAATACAATGATATTCAGAAAACTATTTACACTGACATCCGTATCGTTAGCAGGCTGCCACAATACTAACTAAATGAAAGGTACGATACGCGTTTCAGACCGTTACCTTGAAGGCTAAATTGCTTAAGTCAGCGGTTTCATAAACGTTTTTTGTACGTAATTTTTCCTTCGACAACTAAGCAACATTTAATGAATGTGAATGTAAATGTAATGAAAATAGATTTTAAATTAAAACTAAACTTGAAACTAAAATTCTTTATATTTTACCGATCTATAATAAGTTAAAAATATATAATAAAAAATAATAGAGATAATTGAGAGAAATAATTATAGTTTAATTTTAATTGATAATTATGCACTTTACGGACAATCTCACCGATTTCAATGATCTTGACATATGTTGTCAAGCTCACTTTCTTGAGTAAATATCAAAAGATTTTAAGTATCGCTTACTATTTATTAAAAAGTTATTAACGAAAAAAGTTTAATGAATATGATTTTGCCATAGCATGTACGTTTCAAGAAGGTATATCTGATGGAATATATGTTTAATATATAGCGAAGATCATCAAATTAAATGCAGAGTAAACTTTGTTTTGTGTTGCAAAGTACATGCTTCACTCAAAAAAATGTTTTGCTAATGTAGGTAGATTTCTAGATGTCGCAACCAAAATTTATCGCTATTTTTTGTATCTGATAGAATATCGTTTGTCACAGCTAGAATTTATAGCAGTAACATTCTAGCAATATCTGCTAGAAAATTTAGGATTATATATTCATTTGTTCTTGCTGCTAGTATTTTCTGTGTACTACAGCCAAACTTTATAACAAGTATGGATTGATCATAACATGGATAGACGCCAAAGAAAAACTTTCTTTCTAAATTTCACAAACAGTTCAGATATAAATTCTGTCTCTGTCATTTAGATTGATTACGTGCAACATATATACGATATTACAATATTTGCTAATCGTTTATCTGCCTCAGTTAATTTTTCGCACCTAGAAAATTTTTGCTATAGTTGCAAGATCATTTTTTTGAGTGTTGGAGACAGTGGGTTCCGCCCTACCTTCGAAAGATATGTATAACCTAGCCCAAACCTATTTCTAATTTAAAATTAAAATTTAGTTTAAGATGAACCTTGCTTTGCGTGAAAAGTTGCAAATCCATGTGAATTCCTTCATTTTAAAATTAAAATTTAGTTTAAATCAGAATAGATTTGGGTTAAGTTATATATTCCGAAAGTGGAGCCCCCCATAGGGAGGGAGGGGGCGGAACACTATATCCACGCGTGTACATTTCACCTTGACTCTTAAAACGTACATAATGGGTGCGTTGGGGGAGCTCACTATGCGCTATAAGCGCTAATGCTATCAATACCGTTTATGGAGTTGAAATACTATTCGTTGTTCATGGAGCTCGCAAACGCTATTACTACCAATGCATTACTTCAAAAAGGATCGTGTCGAGAATGCGCAGTGATGACGTACAACGCTACCAGTAGTGATGCCATGATAGCGTTTATTAGCGCTATCATCTAGCTCCGCGAACAGTCTATAGCGCTAAATAGTGCTAATAACGTCTCCCCGAACTCACCCAATGTCTAAAAATTGCACATAATTCGTAAAACTTTTTTCGAAATAACTTTTTAATAAAGGGAGCAACACTTAAAACCTTTTGATACTTACTTAGGAGAGTGAGCTTGACAATATATGCCAAGATCATTGAAATCAGTCGTCCGTAAAATGCATAATTACCCTTTAATTTTTTAATAAAATTTTAAATAAAGTTTAATAAGTTACAGTTTCTACATAGAAAATCGAAGTTTGTTATATTAAAAATAATTGGCCTTTGGCCTTAATTGGCTAATATTTAGCTACATTTTATTTTTTAATATTACATTATTTTTGATTTTTTTAGTACTTTAATGTTTTACTTTATTTTTATATGTTTCTAGCATACTTTGAAAAGGCTGAACTAAGATACAATAAGCTCAGATATAATTATAACATTGCAATTACATACTACAATTATACAGAGTAAATCAATATATAATATAATATATAATAACATAAAATTGTGTATAATTGGTGTGTATTGTTTATTTGATATTACGAATCCGATATAACGGACATTGTATATCGGATTATTTATTTCTACCTTGCATATTTTTCTATTGTGCGTTTTACTCGATATAATATTTATGTAATTTGATATTGATTAATGTTTATATAAAATGTTTATACTTATATGTATATACTTATATGTATAATATTTATATTTTTAAAACTGTATCTCTGATAAAATTGAAACTACAGATAGTTATACTTAGGATATAGCCTAATTTGTCAATTTTCTTTTCCAAATGATATCCGCAAATTTGGACCATCCTTGCAGGATCCAGAGTGTCAACATAAACATATAGTTTTGATACATCCTCATTATGGTTCCGACATAGGGTACAACTAAAACAAGCTAAAAGTGAACATAGTGCGATAATACGATAAAATACTGTAAAAATTTATGCAAACTTACGATATAAGTAAAATATTAAATCACGTTTTTTCATGCTTAGCCAACTGTACCATTTAAGGGGGACATTATCTAAAAAATAAATAATTTTTAATTAAACAAATTATGTTTATTAGATTATTTGAAGATCTAAAATATTGGCGCGTATTATGTATTATGACTTCAAATAAATTAAAAGTTGTATAGACTTTTTATTGTAATGTGGCGCAATATATAATTTGGATGAAATATAAAAGTATTATTTATATCAATATCTAATAATATAAGTATATGTTGTATTTGCATACAATGGTAAAATTTTTTATTTGCTATTTTATTTGACATCAATATTTATTTTTATTTAATTTAAATAAATTTATAACATATGAGAATGCGATCTGAGATATTATACATACGACATTGAATTTAAAATTTATAAAATTAAAATTTATCCTCTATTTTTGAAAAGAATATTTTACAAAAAGTAAGAAGAGTAAACACATAAATCATAAAAATAATTCTAAAGTGTATACATCAAAAGAAAAAATTTATGCGAATAATGAAAGTAGAAATTTAAATACGCACATTTAATACCATGTAACCGATAAATAAATGTTAAAAGAGCATCTTTGTCCAAAGTTAAATCAATGTACCATATTTCCTGTAAAATACTTGATATCATGGAATAGAAATCAGGTGGAGCTTCATTCAAATAATTTGCCAAAATACCGTTGCTTATCTTTTGACATAATTTGCGAGTTTCCTCTACGGTTTTACGACATATGTTTAATCTGTTAATCAAGACAAATAATTAATAAAATTAGGAAAGAAAAGCGGAAAGACAATGAGAAAGCTAATACATATTTATTATACATAGTTATTTTATACACAATATCATACTCTTTAATAGAAAAAAAGTTAACATTATGATCAGTTAATCTTCTTTAATTTAATAAAATTTATTATTTGCTTTTTATATGTATTACCTATCGGGAATTCCTAGCATGTAGCCTACTACACGCCAGAGATGAATAAACGCTTCTTCTTCTTCGAGTGTATTGCGTAATCCAATAGATTTAGGTGTCGTAAGAACATATCCCACAAAAACAAATTGTGTAAGTGCCATATCTCTTTGATAAATTCCTCCAATATTGGCTTTTAATGATTTTTTATTGTTTACTGTATGTTGCCCACGTATCATATTTATGACCTTACACCAACTAATAGAGAAGAATTCAAGATCTCAACAATTTATAAGTGTTTCATTTTCTTTTACAATTAAAATTTTAATATTTAATCAATGACATAGTGAATAATTTAAGACATTAAATGGAATGAATTTGAATCATTCGTTTAAAGGAATAGTGAATAAAAAAAGGTAGAAAAAAAATTAGAAAAATAAGCAGACGTGTGTGTGTGTGTGTGTGTGTGTGTGTGTGTGTGTATGTGTGAGAGATATAGATGCAAATAAGTCGGAAGAAAATATGTAAGAAACTATGCTTTTTAAAAAAAGATAACAAACAAATTAGAATAAGTAAAATGTAAGAAAAGATAACAAACAAATTAAAATAAGTAAAATGTACGAACTAGAAATATATGAAGCATGTTGTAATGAAACATGGCAAATATGAAAACTTACTTGGAATCGAAATTTGGATCACATATATACAAGTTGTGTATGCGGAATAGAGTTTGGACGTATCTATTGGAAACGATGTAAGATATATTACTTTTTTTAGTGTATGCAAGAACCTGTTGAAAAAAAATTATGTTTAACTGTTCATTATATTGTAACAGAATATTTTATTATTATTTTCCACTACAATGACTATTTTTTTTAATGAGCTCTTTAATGATAATAAAATAATAATATTAAAAGTACTATATATATATATAATACAAAAATATAAAATTTTAATACCCTTAAAATATCTGGGATTGATATTATTGCGAAAAGTCCCAAAAAGCTAGACATTACAAGCGCCAATACATTTCGCTTATAGTAGTTTTGAGCTCTGAAATTAAATATATTTATATCTTTCACTATTAATAATATTTTTCAGGCATACTCTTTTTCATATTTGATGTGAAGAATATCCTCTGTTTATATCGTGAAATATAAAACTGTGACTGTATTGTAAGATTTCAATATTTTCATCATATACATACATATATTATAGATGCTTACTCTTTGAATAATTTTTCATTATACCAATGTGGTAAATCAGCAGGTGTTACGTTGATGAGTTTTGGATCGATTAAATTTTTTTCTTTCAACAATAATTCGTAATGTTCATCTACCGTCGACGTTTGAACTAAAATACACAATAAAATAAAATAGGATATATTAATAATTGATTTTAAATTTTTTTATAAAATTTTATAATTTATCTATTATATTATTTATTGATCTTATTTATCTCTTAATTATAAATTAGTTTATATTTTTATTTATTTATTTGACGACACAGATGCAATAAACTATTTTAATAATTTAATAATTATTATAAATGTATATTCTATATATATATATATACGCAATTTTTCCTTTTTCAATAACTGCATGCATTAAAAATGACAGCTGATTAGTTTCAGTAACTTTTCATGGGACATCTTGTATATGAATCTCTATCTCTTACACACACACACACACACACACACACACACATATGACATATATATATATACCATATATATATATATATATATATATATATATATATATATATATATGTCATTATCTCTATCTCTATTTCTATGTCTACCTTTATCTCTATCTCTATTTCTATTTGATCTTTATTTCTAATTCTAATCTGATTTTCTAATTTATTCTTTAATCTCTCGATAGTTGATTAACATTCTTCCTCATATTTTTTGACATAAAAAACTATTTTTATGTCAAATCGTGGATTTAGATGAAAGTGAAATATTATATTGTGTAATTTTACGATAAAATTTTACAGTAAAATGCAGTATATGCTTAATATAATATTTTATTTGCATTCAAATCCACATCTTGACTTAGAAAAAGTAATTTGTTTGACATGGAAAAATCTTTATAAGCTTATACCTATATTTATATAAACATTTTTAGGCTAAAAATGAATGATGAACAACTTATTGAATTGCGTCAATATCCCGTGCTATACGATTTATCGCATCCTAAATATAAAAAACTGAGCCATCTTGAAAATCACTGAGTTCAAACTGATCAAACTATACGGATATATGTGAATAATCATCACTGATACATTACGGATGTTACTGACACGATACTGATGTGGCACTCACACGTCACGGATATGTGTAAATAAATCTTTAAAGTTTTTATTTTTTTTGTATGTGTACATGTGTCTATCACATATGCGTGCGCACAAACACATGCACAGAATAAATTTAAATAAAAAATTGTGATTGTGATAATTATATAAAATTAGAATTATGTGATTTTATTTACACATTTCATATGATTTTTATATTTGGTGTATTTTTTTCCTAGAACAAGAAATAAATCATGAAATTGCGTGTTTAATGGATGTATCGTAACGAGTATTTTGATATATATTAATAATTTTGAAATATATTAATAAAAGAAAAAAGGAAATGTGTCTCTTCTTCTTTCTTACGTTCCAATTATCGCATTTTAGTTCGTTAACTTTTAACTTTTTAATTTTTAATTTTTTAATTATTATTATTATTTGAGCTAATTTCTTATTTTAATTTTAATATATTTGTATATGTGTGTTAGTAAAATATATTTAATTTTTTAAATATTTATTTAATGAAGAAGTGTGTGCGTGCTTGCGTATGTATGTGTGTGTGTATACACATTTAAATATACATATAGACAGACTATAGACAGCAGGAAAAGATCATCTCACGATATATATGTAAAGGATGATAAAATCTTTAAGTTATTTCTTTAAATATCTCTTAAAGTCATATACTGTGACTGAACACACACTATAAATATATTATAAAACTGCTTGTGTGTGTATAATATGTATTTAAAGAATTTTATTAATTAATAATATAATATGACTATTTAATAATTTTATTAGGCGTTTCCCTTTTAAATTGCGGCAATTATTGTCGTATAATAATTAATATTACTTTAATACAACACATATGTTATAATCACTAGCTTAATACGATTGTATATATATATATATATATATATATATATATATATATATTTAAAATTATGTACAAAAATTGTTTTTGCTTTTTTCTATGAAATTTACTACTTGCACTGTACATCAGTCCTTCAATTAACAAAATTTTTTTATCTTTTCTTTAATCAACTTAAAATATTGTCTCACCGTCGTTAATATGTTTCTCCTTTATCTCTCTGTTTCGTGTTTCCATTTAAAGTGATTTATAAGTCGTCGTAATTAAATATAGTATTATAAATTAATTTCATAAGACAAATTCAAAGATTCATAAGTATGTTCTTAACAAGCTGGTATAACACTAAACGGAAATTCTTGAATTTATAACGTTAGCCCAGTAATCACTTATCTTGAAAAGTTCCACATTTTTTTTTAACGTTATCATTGAGTCGAAACATATAGATTATAGGAAAGAGCGGATATTTCACTTGTAAGAATGATATAATAATTAAATATAACAACTAAATTGAAATAATTATGCATATACAATTATGAAGTGTATACCTAATCAATTTTAATAATTGTTGTATGCAATATTGTATTAAACAACAATTTTTAAAAATTTATATAAATACTGCGTTAATATTACTGATAACCAATATATTGGTAAAATATGTGTAGCTTTATTAAATATAAGTATTATCTTTTTCCACATGTTATCTTTAAGGAAAAATCTCCTGAGATGAACGATATCAACAAAATACTTCATAAGACTATTGATGTCAATGCATATAATTACGGAATATCTTTATGAAAGTTTTCACGTTTGCAAGAAGGTTGCATGGTCTTACGTGAAGACTTCCGTAAAGATATTCCGTAATTATATGCATTGACATCAATAGTCTTATGAAATATTTTGTTGATATCTCAGGAGATTTTTCCTTAAAGATAACATGTGGAACAAGATAATACTTATATTTGATAAAGTTACACATATTTTACCAATCAGCCAATCGGTGGACAACATTTCGTAATTTACAATAATATTATTACATTTTGTGAGTAACAGTTTTGTTATATTTTTTTGTATTCTTTCGGTTTTTTTTTGGGAATTTCTGCATTTTTATTAACAAATTCTACTTTTATTGAATGACATTGACAACATTAAGTTAATGGATTTTAATTTGAAGTTGATGGATTTGTATTTTCATACAATGTCATGTCATTCATTAATTTAATAAGAGCAAAAGTAATCAATAATATTATCCGCATCTGTTACATTTTTATTTTGAAATTTCTGCTTATAAATTTCTGCTTTGATTAAAAGTTCCATCATTGCCCACTTGCAAATTAATTTCAAGTTTATATGACTTCCTAAATTTTGTTTATAGATTGTAAGTAATTTTTCACTCGCGTAAGATCTAAAAATATTTATAATTTAATTGAAACACAACAACAATCGTCTCAGTTATTGTCATTTTATTTTTTGATGGATAACATACTACATACACATACTAATTTTGTTTGTTAAACTTTACAATAGGACATATTGATTTGTGCCATTTTCGATGTATGTTTCTTTTAAATGTATGTATTGTATGTATTGTATGTATTGACTTAGATAGATTTAAACTGAGAAATAAAGCCAAACATTTCTCTTTCGAATATAAAGAAATTTCTATTTAATTTTCAGAAAAATCTGTCACTCTTTTAGCTTCATTTTTTATAACAAAATTCAATTCCATGCTGTGGAACTTTCGCGCAAGCACCGCATCGCATTGAATCACTTAATAAATGTGACAGAAATATGAAAGAATACAAAATAACAAATTTACTGCCCACTAAATGCGGAAATATTAATATAAATTATGAAATGTTGTTTACCATGATTGATAATAAAGCATGCGTTACTTTATCAGACATAGCATTATCTTGTTCCACGTGTTACCTTTAGGACAAAATCTTTTGAAATGAATAATATTAACAAAATACTTAATAGGAATATTGATATCAATGCATATAATTACGGAATATCTAATCTTCACGCAAGAATCCGCTGCATGGAATTTTTACTTCATGTTTCGTATTTGCTCTTTAAAAACTGGAGTGTTTGGGATCCTGTTTTAAAAAAACAACGAGAAGACAATAAAAAAAGGATACAGCAAGAATTTAGAAAAGAATTAGGATTGCTCATTGACATCGTAAAACAAGGATCAGAATCTACTAATAATGGGAACACAGCCAAGCGATTCTTTTCTAATATACATACAACTGCTAAAATCATAATATTAGATGAATCCTTAATAAGAAGGTTTTCTATAATATTGCAGGCGATTTCATGCGGAGAAGTAATAAACACAAAAAAATTTGGTTTATTTACTCTCAAAATCGCCAAGGAATTTATTAAGAACTATGGATGATATTATATGACAGCTTCCGTGCATAAATTGTTAATCCACGGAGAGGCAATAATTTCAAATTTTTCGATTCTGATTGGACAATTATCAGAAGAGGCAAGTGAAGCGCGAAATAAGGAGTTTCGAGAATATACAAAATGCATTCATGTAAAATGGATAGAGTAAAAACTAATGAAGACATTTTACATCAGCTATTAATTTTATCTGATCCCGTAATTTCCAGTTTAAGATCCAAAAAAAACGAACAGAAAAAACATGACATGTTTCTCGAGACATTAGAAATGTTGGTATAAACACACAATACATATAACACACATACCAAACACAAACCACACACAACACACAACTATATCAACGCAGAGAGGGTTTGGAGTCATTAAATATTACAGGAGTAACGAACTGTGGGGTCCTTATCTCTGCTGTGACACAAAAACAACACACACACTGCCATCAGCACAGCAGTAACGAGGATTACTCTTTACTCTTTTTTTTATATAGTCCTTATATAGTATGACACACCGCGTTAATTACTCAGCAATTATTTTGTATTCCTTTTTCATATAATAAACATTCACTTCTTTATACACATATTTATCAATTTACTAATTTGTTTCTTAACCATTGAATATCCCTTCCAAGAGAATTTTTTAATGTAATGTTATAAAAACTTGTAATGCGAAAATCAATGAAAATGTTGTATCTTTAATATAAGAATTTTAGACAATTAAATAGGAAAAATATATATACTTATATCAATTATTTTTTCTTAAAAAAATTTGCACATAAATCACGTACACACATAAGAATATATTAATTTATTTTAAAAAATGATTACAATAAACAGTACAATAAACAGTAAAAGTACATATTTTTATAACTTGTAAAAGAAAAAAATGAAGAAATTTTGATGGTATTTATTGAAAAATATAAAAATCGCCTTTTTTTCTTTCACTCGTTTGGATAAACAATCATTTGGATACAAATGCAAAAAAATGTGTCTTGAACTAAAACGTATTCAAAGTAAATAATCATTAGTCAATAATCATTATTATAATCAGAGATGAAATTTTTCTTCCTTTGTTAATCTAATTAAATAAAAGAAATTTGGTTTAAGTGATTTTGAGGATTCTCTCTATTAATTTTATATTACTAAATTGCATATTAAAAAATTAATTATGAAAAATTGTTAATAATTGAATAATATAAAATATAAATGTATAACAATTGTGCAAAATTGAGGAAGATGATATTTATTACATTAAAATCGAATATCAGGTTTATAGTTTTAAAAATATAGCTTTGGCAAATATAATGAATTTCTGGTACAAAATTATAAATATTTAGAATATAGCCTAATTAGGATATAGCTTAATTTGGCACTTTTCTTTTCCAAATGATATCCATGCATGTATGGGCCATTTTTGTACGAGCCAGAGCGTGAACATAAGTAAATAGTTATAATAAATTTTCACAATTGTTCCGACATAAGGTACAACTAAAACAAGCGAAAAGCAAATCAGTAACAATACGATGAAATACTGTAAAAATTTATTCAAAACTTACGACATAAATAAAGTATCAGATCACGATAGTTCATGTTTAGCCAACTGTACCACTTAAGAGGCACATTATCTAAAAAATAAATTTTTAATTAAATAAATTATGTTTATTAGATTATCTGAAGATCTAAAATATTTGCGCGTATCATGACTTTAAATAAATTAAGAATTACTTATCAGTAAACGTTACAAAAATATAAGTATTCAAGAAACTTTTTATGTTGTAATGTGCCACAAAATATGATTTGAATGAAATATAAGTGTTATTTATATCAATATCTAATAATATAAATACAGCTTGTATTTGTGTACAATAGTAAAATTTTTTATTTGCTATTTTATTTGACATTAATATTTTTTTTATTTAATTTAAATAAATGTATAATACGTAAGAATGTCAAATATAATTAATTATACATTGATTTGGATATATCTTTATAAATGACTGAATGTCAAATATAATTAATTATACAGAATGTCAAATATAATTAATTATACATTGAATTGAATATATCTTTATAAATGACTGAATATATCTTTATAAAATTAAAATTTATTCTCCATTTTTGAAATAAATATGTTGCAAAATATAATGTATTGAATGTATTGAATGTATCTTTATAAAATTAAAATTTATTCTCCATTTTTTAAATAAATATGTTACAAAAAGCAAGAAGAGATAACACATGCATAGCATAAAAATAATTTTAAAGTGCATATATCAGAAAAAAGAATTTATGCGAATAAAAAGCAGAATTATGTACTCAAATATTCACATTTGATACCATGTAGCCGATAAGTAAATGCTAGAAGAGCATCTTTATCCAAAGTTAAGTCAATATACCATAGTCCATGTGTAATGCTTGACACTATGGAATAGAAATCAGATGGAGCTTCATTCAAATAATTTACCAAAATACCGTTGCTTATCTTTTGACATAATTCGCGAGTTTCCTCTACAGTTTTACGACATATGTTTAATCTGTTAATAACAACAAATAATTAATAAAACTCGAGGAGAAAGGCGGCAAGACAATGAAGAAGCTATTACATATCTACTAGTTATTTTATGTACAATATCAAACTCTTTAATAGACGAAAGGTAACGTTATGATCAGATGTTAATCTTCTTTAATAAAATTTATCGTATGATTTTATTATATGTATTACTTATCAGGAATTCCTAGCATATAGCCTACTACACGCCAGAGATGAATAAACGCTTCTTCTTCTTCGAGTGTATTGCGCAATCCGACAGATTTAGGCGCAGTAAGAACATATCCCACAAAAGCAAATTGTGTGAGTGCCATATTTTTTTCATAAATTCCTCCGATATTGGCATTTATTGATCTTTTGCTGTTTGTCTTATGTTGCCAACGTATTCTGTTTATTGTCTTATACCAACTAATAAGATTAAACAATTTAAGAATTATATAAATATTATTTTCTTTTATAATTGAAATTTTAATATTTAATCAATGGCATAGTGAACAATTTACAATAAAATGGAACGAATTTGAATCCTTTAGAAGAACAATAAATAGAAAAGTACTAAAGAAAAAATAGGTAGATGATAGATGTAAAAGACTATAAAAAAAATATGTAAGACATTGTGCATTTTAAGAAAAAATATAAAACAAATTATACATATAAGTAAAATATATAAATTAATGAAATATGCTGTAAAGAAATATGCCACATGAGTTTAAATAAAACTTACTTAGAATTGGAATTATTTGGATTGCATGTATATAAGTTGTGTATGTGCAATAATGTTTGGACATATCTGTTGAAAGCCACATAAGGCATATTACTTTTTTTGGTGTATATAAGAACCTATTAAAAAAAGAACAAAATTTATTTTTAACTGTTCGTTATTTCGCATTATAAACAAAATACTTTATCATTCCTTTTCGTCAATAGTTTCTTTAATGAATTCTTTAATTATAATATTAATAAAAAGATATTGATTAAAATAATAATATTAAAAATTATAATAATATAATTATGGTAATATTAAATGATAATATAATAATAATAATGTTAAAATAGAGTATTATATGTGTGTTTTATACATGATATAAAAATGTAAAATTTTAATACCTTTAATATATCTGGGATTGATATTATTGCAAAAAGTCCCATAAAGCTAGTTAATACAATTACTACCATATTTCGCTTATAGTAGTTTTGAGCTCTGAAATTAAATATTTGTATCTTTCATTATTAATAATTAATATTTTTCAATAATTAATATTCTTTTTCACATTTAATATAGAGAATTTTTATTAAGAATATTTTTTTGTTTATATCGTGAATTATCTATAATATCTTATATTTATATAACCTATATGTAATTATGATTATATTGTAGGACTTTTTATTATATATAAATGCTTACTCTCTAAATAATTTTTCATCATACCAATCTGGCAAATCGTCAAGTGTTGCTGTATTGATGAATTTGGAGTTGATTAAATTTTTGTCTTTCAATAATAATTCATAATGTTCATTCACCATTGACGTTTGAACTAAAATATTTGAAATAAAAAAAAATGATAATGTGTATTGATAATTGATTTTAAGTTTGAAGAGTATAACTAGATTAATACTAATTAATTTTATTTCACACGTTATCATCATCCATTATTATGATTCTTTTATTATTATTTTTCGTAGTATTATCATATCGATTTTTTTCTATTCTTTTTATTTTAAATTTATTTATAAAATGTTAGAATTTATCTATTATGTTATTTATTAATCTTGTTTTCCTCTTAATTATTAAATTAAGTTATTCATTTATTTAATGACACAAATCAAGTAAATTATTTTAATAATCTAATAATTATTATAAATATGTATTGTATGCAAGAGGATTCACCTATACCTCGAGTTATGATAATATATATTAAGGCCAAGATATTCGAGATGAATTCCTTCTATATATTTTTACCAAGCATTTATATGTACACACACACACACACAATATTTAATTTTTGAAATTTTTTGAAATTACATCTCTTTTTAACATTTAAATCTTATTTTTAATAACATTTGTAATCTTACAATGTATATCTTTAATAACATAGAGATAAGTAATAACTATTAAAATACATATGTTTAACTTGACTTTTGCTCTATACATATAGATCATTCATACAAAATTGTCTTGTTATTATTGATATATTTTTCTTCTTAATTTTAATACTTTACTTTTTTATCAGGAATTATATAATAGCAACAATATTAAATTCCGTTTTACGATCTTTTCAAAATAAATGGAACACTGTGTTTTCACTACACAGTATAATGCAATATTATAAAAATGTAAGTCATTCTGTTGGAGATAAAATACAAACGCAATTATATATGTGGTTTCATTGCGTAAATTGATAACATGCGGTTTAATGGTTGTTCTATTTGACTTTAATGAACAAATATTTGATACTTTACGATACATGCAAAAATTGAATAAACTATAAGCAAATCATTTCGTCAATTCAACATTCTTATCATATGATAATGTTAAAATATTTTACTGTAAGTTTTTTAAACACTAAAGATATTTACAAATAATGTAATATTTATAAATTTACTGTTAATGTGTTTATGTATATGTGCGTATGTGTATGTCAAATGTGTGCGATAATTAACACGATATTTACGATCATGATAATTATGTAAATGTTATCTATGTGATTTTATTTACATTTCAATTGACTGTTAAATATTTAACGTATCTTTTTCTACAATAAAATAAAACATGTTGATTAAATAGATCTCATGAATCTTTTCTAATGATTCAATTATTGTATAAAAAAATTAATTTTATATATATATATGTGTGTGTGTGTGTGTGTGTGTGTGTGTGTGTGTGTGTAAAAAATTAAAAATTGATAAGAAACAGCTAAGTCGCGATAATTAGAGCATAAGAAATAAGATAACTTCTCTTCTTTTTTGTGCTTGAATTACCACACCTTAGCTCTAGTCAATTTTTAACTCTTTAATTAAAAAATTTTGAATTATTATTTTTAATTGAATCTATTGAATCTATTGAATATATATATATATATATATATATATATATATATATATGCACAGATAAAGCAGGAGAAAAGTGAAAAAATCTTATTGATTTTTCCTCTATATATACATCATTCATACAAAACATTGTCTTACCGTTATTGATATGCTTTTTCTTCATTTTACTATTTTACTTTTTTATCTCTAGTTATATTACAACAAATACAGCAATAGTAATATTAGATTTACGTTTTATCCTTTCTTTTTCAAGATATAAGCGGAGCACTATTCGTTTTCACCAATATAATGCGATTCATTCTGTTAGTGAACTGTCTGCGATTCGTTCTGTTAGTACGTTCTGTTAAAACGCAGACACAATTATATATATACTTTCACTGTGGAAGCAAGAAATGTTTTTATCCAAAAAAGATATAAAATTTATCAACGGAAAAGACCGTATCTCTAAAAAATGGCAAAAAGCAAATGATAACATGCGGTTTACTCATCATTCTATTTTGCGGTTTACTCATCGTTCAGTTTTATATAATATTGCTCGTTAAAAAAGTAAGTAATATACATACTATTAAGATACATATATTTAATTTGATTAATATCCTTATGTGGAATTGATATGCAAAAAGTTCCATAAAGCTAGTTAATACAATTACTACCATATTTCACTTATAGTAGTTTTGAGCTCTGAAATTAAATATTTGTATCTTTTACTATTAATAATTAATATTTTTCAATAATTAATATTCTTTTTCACATTTAATATAGAGAATTTTTATTAAGAATATTTTTTTGTTTATATCGTGAATCTATATAATCTATATATAATTATGATTATATTGTAGGATTTTATTATATATAAATACTTACTTTATAAATTTACGTAGCTGTTTTACTCTGTTGGCAAAACGTAAGTGATTAACTAAGTTCTAAGATAAGCTGAAATTATCTTCAGCTATACAAATCTCGTTATAATCAAACATTTAAAATGCGAATTTTTAGTGAGTACTTGATGTTTTATTGACTATAATATGTGCACATATTTAAAATCTAAATAAACTGTAAACAAAACCCGTCAATAAAACATTATTATCTTATGATAATGATAAAATTGGATAATTGTCTTCAATGAACACATTAAAAATATTTATAATGGCTTTTATTGAAATCATATGTCGATTTAATTATATTATTACATTATTACAGACTTAAATATATTATTTTTTTTATTATTGATACGAAAATTGATATAAATTTGAGTTTTTATATTTAAGCTTCTTAAATTTGTGTTTATTCTCCATGTTTAAAAAAATGTATAGAGTATAAAATCAATTAATTTTTACTTTACATATACATGTATACTTTTTTCATTACTCTCGTCTATAAATATATGCATAATATTTTTTTGATTTTTTGTCGGAAGAATTACAAGCAGAAACTTCTTTATTGATTACATGATTATTTTTTTGCTTAAATCGCATTGAAAATATATTAAAGAAGGTATTAAGTAACGTAGAATAACAACTTCTTTTTACATCGTAAAATCATTTTTATAAAATATATTTTATATATTTATATATAGATATATAGATATCTATATATTTTATATATAGATATATAGATATATACATATTGAATATCTGAATTAATTCTATATACATTACAGAACTAAAGTTTTGTCACAATTTACATTAATAAGATTTATTTTTATTCCTAACTAATGACGATAATTTATTTTTTGTTCATTGTTATTTAGAAAAAATATTGTTATAGAAAATCAAAAATTGAATGCCTTTAATTTTATGTGCACTTTTATAAGAAAATTGATTACACACACACATTATTACAAAGATGTGACGTTATCATGGAACTTTTTCATATTTATATATCATTATCATTTTGAATTTTGCATTTTAATATAATATTATTAAAATATCGTATGTAAATAGTATATGCGATTAAATTTAGACATTTTATGTCAATTACATTTAATCTACATACATACAAAAATCTTCTTTTATTACTTGCTTATCTTAAAATATATTATAATATATTATAATTATATATATATATATATATATATATATATATATAAAATACGTAATTAACATATTACTTTTAATTGCTTTCTTTTTTTCATGTTAATGTGTGTGTGTGTGTGTGTGTGTGTGTGTGTATATATATATTTTTTTTTTTTTAAATTCAATATCATATAAATTACGTAAATATATAATTAAATAAATATAATTATATATATATACATACATATATATATATATATATATATATATATATATATATATGAATATTTCGTGTATTTTATTTAGTAATGATGTAAATTGTAATGAAAAATTGTATCTCTTGATTTTTATATAGATTCAGTATTTGCAATATATCCAAACTTAATTATAGATAAATCAAAACTTTTATTGCTTGAACTATGCTTCATTAATTCAATTTCTCTCTGACATTTTTTTTTACCTGCCAACAGTTGGTATTCCTCCCGTTTCTTTTGTATTCCTCGAAAAACTTTGCGAATTGATCGTGAACCAGCAGCTTGCTTTAATTCGTAGAAGAATACTATTGTAGATGCTAAGAGACCTACAATGAGCGCTGCGAAACCGGCACTTAATGGCATCAATCCTAAAACTCTAGCACTTTTGTCAAGATTATCGTATTCCTTGAAAACTTCGCGGAGATTGAAATTAGCTCTTCGGCGAATAACATCATCGAGGTGAAAATAAGTAAGGCCCGACTGTCTCAACCATAAAATAATCTATAGAATATATATAATAAAATATTTTAATATATATTTAATAATAACTTTTGGGACACTTACTTAAAAAATACTGCATATTAAGATAATCTTTCTTTATCTTTTTCTTTCTTAATAATTTATATAAATTTTTATAAATATACAAATGTAATATATTATTTTTATATATAGAATAAATAGAAAATTTTGATTAACTTTTAAATTTTATCATAGTAAAAAAGGTGATTTAAAATAATTGTATCTCTATTTATATAGCAGATTATCTTAATCTTTATTTAATTAAGAATTTTGAGTTCGGATCAAATAATCTCTTGAATCTTTTTCATAAATTTAATTTAATTTTAATTTAATTTTAAGGAAAATTGCAAAAGTATTTTCAAGCATTGTATACGATATTTTATAATGATGATTGTGTATTGTATATGAGATTCATAGAAGGTTCATGATCATTATAGAACATTATAATAATGATTAATTTTGTTTATGAATAAGATTGTGATATTACCATATCAATAGGTTGTAACAACCACGGTTGGACCGCGAAGGATGCATAATATTTGCTTATCATTTGCTTCATAATTCTGTAACCCTTACAAATATGATTTAATTTGTTTTAGTTTCTTTTATCTCAATATTAATTATTATATATAATATTAATATTATCATAATATTAATTATCATAAATAAATACATTCTTTTATTTTGATCTTACTTTGAGATCTTCGTTGGAAATGCTATCCTCAGGAAAGAAGAGCGTACCTATAATTTTCCCAAAAATCGCATAATTTCCTTTTTGAATGAGTGTGTGCGTCATTTCATTATCTTTTATGGGTATATATCTTGTTGGTAACTGACTCGAGTAAGAATCCTAAAAACATTATATATATACATTATATATATGTATATGTATATATATATATGTGTGTGTATGTGTGTGTGTGTGTGTGTGTGTGTGTGTGTGTGTATTTTTTTATCGCATTCGCAATAAAAAATGACACTTGTTTACAAACGTAAATTCTACATACATTCATATCGAAGTAATCGTAGTAATTTGGTTCTGGTCCTGTTCGACCCCACGTTAAATTTGCCTCGAGAAATTGATATATCATGTCAATTCTATAAATAGTATTAGTACGATTAATAGTAATAGTACAATTTCTATATTTTTTTCTCATAATTAAACATAAATTAATAATGTGTATTAGAAATCAAGAAGATATATTATTTAATAATACGATTTTTTAAATTAAGAAATATAACACATACACTATGATAGATGGTTAAGGTAATTGTTTTATTTAAATTATAAAAGTCGTTCATTTTAATTTATATTTTTTTAACTGTATATTTGTTTAAAAATAAAATATATTTAAAAATAATTTATAAAAATGAAACTTATTTGTCTATATATATATATATATATATATATATATATATATATATATATATAGTTTACAAAACTGTAGATATTCTTTTCCAAATATTAATAATATTACTTGATCTTATGTTTATTGGTAAGCACAATTATAGATCATAAATAAATATTCTAATAGTATTAATAATAATCTAATTACACTATCTTCATAATTGAAAAAAATAGTATAGAAATTGTTGCTACCTATTTTCATATTCCGAACCCGTGAGTCTCGCTGCAAGACTGCTACAATAAGCGGTCACTAATATAACTCCTGCAGTTTGCCATAAATGCAATTCAAATCTAGCATTGATGGTGTTTTTGGGTATCCACGTACCTAATAAACGGCCCATTAATTCCATAATTGTAAAAAAAAGACTCCTAAAACCTAAGAAAATATATATTATGTATTTGACATTCTATATGATATGATTTTTCGTCTTTCTTTTCATTTCATATATTTTGTTTTCAGTATCATATTATCCAAGTAATAAAATTTATAAAATATTTAGGACATCAAAATCTACATATGTAGCATGTAAAAGAAAGCAAATTAAACTATTTGTTCATTTTCGATTGTCAGGTGCATACGAATATTTTTAACTTACGTCTTGGAAATTTTGAATCGATTCTAGAACGTACACACATATATAGGCTCATAACGATCAGCATCAATATCAGAAGTAGCCAACAATCTATCGAAAAAGGCCTTGTCAGTGCCCAGAAATTGGTGATCGGTTGTGGTCGCGGTACCAAAAAATGCATGTACATCTGATACCATGGTTCCGTCATGTTTACAAAATCACTGTGATTTGACGTTAACCAGATGCTCCCGAACGCTAGATCAATCTTGATACACGAGACAAAAATCGCATAAAATTTATTTATTTTCTAATTATTTACTTATTATATGTAATATATTAACCGAGTAATATATGTAATATAAATAATATATTAACGAGTAATATATGTAATATAAATAATATATTAACCGAGTAATATATGTAATATATTAACCGATTTTTGATATTTAAAAAATAAAATATGTTTATAATAAATTTGACAAATTTTTCAAATAGCAATAATTTAATTATAAATTTTTATAAAGTGTTAATTGTGAAACTAAAGTTTGAAATGATTTGACAGCACATAGTTTTCATCTAATTATCAATAACATCTTAAAATTTATACTTGTATTATGTTTTGGATTGTTTGTGAATTAACAATTTTACCTTTTTTTCTCTTAAAAGTTGAATGACACCACCATTCCAATATGTACTATTTACGCGTCGACCATATCTAAAAATTTGATGATATTTTGAATATTAATTGTATATATATTAAATACACACATATAAAAAAATAAATTATTCGCAGAATTACCTGTAATCTCCTGGTGGTTTTCTTAATGTCCAAGTAAAATTTAACTTTTCTGCTATAAGCAGAAATATTTTCACTTCTATCCCATCCTTTTCTATATCTGTAATAAAGATTATGTAATATGTAATAGAGACTATATTATTGTCTTATCGATCCCTCTTTGTAGTTTTATAATAATTCATAATTTTTATTAATTATTTTATTAACTTCAATTAATTGTATTAATTCTTCCTAACTTTCTACATACATATATAAGTAGCACTTAATTGAAATTTAAGATTGTCATAATATCAATCAATTTTATTTTCTCTTTTGTAAAATTAATGTTAAGTTTAAAAAAAAATTGGTTTACCATCTGCTAGAAATACTTCTTCTTCGATACCCTTAATTATTTTCTTAGTCGTTTTGTTGAGGTAGGAAACAGGTGGCTGATAAAATGTACATACTTGTAGTTCTCTACCTCTTAAATTAATTATGTTGAATTCGGACATCAGATCCTCATAACTACGCCATTGAAAATTTACAATAACATAGCATATTTATAAATATGAAAAATATGATACACATATTTTTAAATATTTTTTATATGTATGATATGTAGAAAAATTTGTTGCATAAAGACATGCATTAAGAATGTTAATGTATATGTAAAGATGTTAATCAATAAAAAAAATATATTATAGATTATAAAATATATTATAAAAACTAACCTGTTTACATTTAAAAAAAATCTCGGTTCCAAGTAATTTTCTGACAAAGTCCAAATCCCAGATCTTGACACGATATTTGCATTAGAATTTCCATATAAAGAAACATTGAAAAGTTTTGAATTATTTTTCAGTTCGTTATCGACAATAATGAGTATTTCTGTCGTTGCAATGGCTGAAGGTATACTATTAAAAAATATATGTATTTCTATGAATCTTAGAGAATAATAGAATAAATTTGATTAAATATATATCTTTTTAATCTTTTTAAATATATATCTTTTAATAATAATTGAATTATATTATTCTCTATTTTATATTATTATATTATATTTATATTATTCTCTATTATTATTATCATTGTGTATTATTGTTTAAAAGATAATTAAATCTTAAATTTATAATTTATAATTTTCCTTTACTTTTGCATATCTTTCTCTATTTCATCATCTGTTGGTCCAAGCAAAAAATAACATTGACATTCGTATATTCTTTGACGTAGCAGATATTCGTATGGATAAATATTTATAAATTGTCGGAATAACACTTCTACATCGTGAATCGATTCTAAAAGAAAAGTTATTTTACAATTTATTTATTATCTCATTGAAATAAAATATATAATCTTTCTATAGAGACCAACCACTTATAAAGATATTACAACATATGGAGTAATGAAATGATTTTTTAATCATTGTCGTAAAATTTTTCGTTGATATCCAGGATTTTACTTGAGAAATTTTCATGATACTTTCTTTGTCAGCTAACACTGAGATAATGATTAGTGACAAAATACCAAACATTGAATTTACTTTCATGATGAGAATTATTATATATATTAAATATATATTATTAATTTAATAATAAAATTTCTAACGGTAATTTTATTTGTGATAATATGAGTTAAATAATAAACGTATTAACGAATAATATCCCAGAGTTAAACATATATATATAAAACACTTTTTTTTTATTATTATGATAAATAATAGACGTATATGTTGCGTGTGGTTTTCGTCTTCATATTCACATCTTATCTGTTCACACTTACTTATTATGAAATATATACATAAATAAATAAGTACATATGTATATATATGTATAAAAAATTACGAAAACATGCACTATTAATGACACATCACATAAAATTCTTTTATATGCATAAATCTTAGAAATAAGGTTTGTGAAATAATGCTTATGATATATCGATATTAGTATAGTTATTAATTATTCTCATTATTGTTAAATGAATTAATATCAATTATTTAAACAAGCTTCTTTCACATTTGTCAAATTTGCGGGAAAAACAAAAATTTGTTTTTTTCCAGTTCGTTGCACTTAACAATTATGTAACACGAATAAGTCCAACATAAGAATAAGAGATTTGGTAGATTACTCTCCAAAACTCCGTGTATATATTGAGAGCGAGCAACAAATTTGCTGGCTTCTACTTGCAGTCTACGTAGCCTCATGTACACTAAGTTACTACAAAAATGCAGTTTAATAAGAGACTATTTCGATAGCAAACTTGAATAAACATGTCGTTATAAATGTATTTGACATAAATGTAATTACGTTACGTCCGCCCTGAGCGAGTAAGAAACATAAGCGCAATTATCACTTAATTGGCAGCTCATAAACATTAGTAATGACATACTTTGCGACATCAATAACGGAATATGAATTAATCATTATTATCTCGAACGAAGTGATCTAATAACCTGTTATCGTAAAGCGACCTTGGTGCTACCGATCCATATATAAGTAGAAATATTTCAAATTATGCTCAACATTTTATAGCGATAAAAATCATATGCAATGAAATTGCGCAATATATTCCTTTCTAAATATGCCGTTTTAAATCATAAATATGTACGATACTACATTTATGTGCTTATTAAATTTCGGATTTTATTTTTTTTATTGATTAAATATTTGTGTTTGATATTGTATACACCCACATACACATAAGTATAACTAATTCTAATAATATTCAATTGAATAATCAACACACACAAGTGTAAATCTTTGATATTTCAAAATGATATGTAAATTTAATCGTCACAGTTAAATGACAAAGAAAATTCAAGATTTATATAAGGCAATTTTTTAAAGAATCATATAACTTTATTTTTTAAGAATTGACACATTTTTACTTTTATAGAATGTTTTTTTAAATGCACTCGATGTTATTTTATTTTTATAGGTCGTGAGAAGAGAGAAAAGAATTATAGGATAATATATGTATATTAACACCAGCCTAATGGGAGTCATAAAATGATCGGTTAGAACGATAAGAAATGACACGCGAAGTTATGTTTATTATTATTACTTAATGTATATATCCAAGTAATGACTCAATGGATATGAAAAGTGGAAATAATAACGTCGATATTACATCTTGATATTCATATTTGTTCGTTAATAACTATCGCATATATGAAATAATAATATTAACAATTGTTGCATGTGTTTTTAATTTAACTTTAATTTAAAATAATTTTTTTAAATATTATTTCACTTTATTTTATAAATTTTATTTTGATATGTAATTTGGAATTTTTGAATGTTTTTATGCCAAAAATATATTAATGTCTTTAATAAGACCCGAGACAGCCGATCAGTTTCTTAATAGCGTTTTCATAAATCATGAAATTTATTCGAATTGCCCGCTGCATTCGTTATCATGTCTTATCAAGCTACGTAATGTGTTTTTATGCTAAATCATCTATATATCGATGAGATGTCGCTGCTATTGCTGCTTTTTGTGTATTTTATCAGTCCTCGTAAAATGTATAATGTGCAATGACGCGATCTTTTTTCAATCGTTTACGTTAAATTCTAAAAGTGTTTTTGGCACTTTTTTGCACAAAGTATGTATAATAATGAAGTGTATTGCGAGTAACGAGATTATATATTAAATGATATTTAAATTGACTGAATTAGCATTTTTACTCAAATTTGCAACTTCCACTTTGGTAACAAGTATTTAAAATGAGTGTCTGTAACAGAGTGTTTAGATTGACAAGATCATTTATCAGTCTCATGATGACAGCAGGTAATTTAATCATTTAAAGATCATTTTAAATATTGAGAAAAATGTTCTTCAATATTTTAAATATGAATATATTCACTTTAAATATGTTGATTTGATTTAAACATCGGTTTTTTGAAATTCCTTTAAAGCTATTGCATTAGATAAGAATTTAAATACATATTTATTTAGAGACATTTTAGAAATATATTTAGCATTAGAACCGATTATTTTAACGAATGTATATTTCAAAACAATAAATCTACATAACAACTTGAGAACGAAAGGAACTTGGGAATTGTGAACAAAAAGGCCACGTCATCTTTTATTGATTTTATTATATTTCTTTTTACGATTCATATCTAAAATATTCATATATAAATATTGTTTTAAATAGCCTTTTCAGCGTTAAAGATTTAAATTATTAAAAAAAAAATAAACTATTAAATTGCAAAGATTTGAATATTTATATATCGAACATAAAAAATTACTAGTAATGATTAGTGGACTCAGTATTAATATGTTTTCTAATGCCGATTTAGAAATAAAACATTATTCACAAATTGGATTCGTCGGATTAGGCAACATGGGTGGCCATATGGCAAAAAATCTATTGAAGAAGGTAAGTAATAATGAAATTACATTCGTTAAATTATCCCTTTTTTACATTAAAAAAATTTTTGTAATTAATTCTTGTATTTTAATAGAATTATAAACTCACTGTATATGATTTGAATAAATCAGCAGTATCAAATTTAGTGGAAGCCGGTGCAAATAGCGCATCGAACGTGGCTGAAATGTCGAGGGAAGTTGAAATTGTCATTTCAATGTTGCCTTCAAATCAACATGTCGTCGATGTTTACACCGGTGAAAATGGCATACTCAGGTATAAAATTAATTTGCCTAAAGCCTAAAAATATTTTTTACATCAAACGTTTTAAATAATATGTATTATTGTATATATTTTAACTTATGTATTAATTAGTTTCTTTATCATTACTTTTTAGTGCAGCAAAGAAGAATGTTTTACTGATCGATAGCAGCACTGTGGATCCATCGGTATCTCAATCGATCGCTTCGCAAGCTAAAAAAGATAATCTGAGATTTATCGATAGTCCCGTGTCGGGAGGTTCGTCATAGATTAATGAGATAGAAAAAGAACATAAGCATAGTATATAAAAATGACAATATAAGTTGTTGAATTATTGCAATAGAGAGATAAAATAAATGTTTTAATATAAAAAAATAATAATTAAATTCATCATTCAACAAATAGCATAATCTATGAATATATAAATATATAAATATATAATACACATATATACACATACATACTATTTAATGAAGTAAATATTAATAATAATTTTTTAATTGGTTAAAAATTAAATTATAGTTTGAATAATTCATCATTCTCAGAAAAATTTTTAAATTCTTTAATATTACTGATTTTTTCAAAGTAGGAGATATGAATATTTTATTACACGAATATGCTATTATTATATAATTATTTTGTTAAAATATATTAATCTATTATTATTTATTTTTTTATATAATATACTTTACTAATCTTTGCAAAAGATTATAAAATAGATCTTATTGCGTCAGTAAATTTAAATAATTAATAAATATAAACAAAATTGAAATAAGTCTGAGATACGAAAAAGGAAACAATTTAATTAATATTAAGTTATATTAATGTCGTATAGGTATAAATGCGGCCAAGGACGGTACTTTGACTTTTATGGTTGGCGGTTCGAATATAGATTTTGATTATGCAAAATCTATACTCGAAGCTATGGGATCTAGAATTGTTTATTGTGGCGACATAGGCATGGGTCAAGCCGCTAAATTATGTAATAACATGCTATTAGCTATTAGTATGATTGGCACTGCAGAGGCGTTTAATCTTGGACAAAAGTGAGCAACAATTAGAATGCTTATATTTGTTTATTTTATTTATTAATTCTCTAATGTTAGATTGCGTTTTTTTATGTTTTAGGTTGGGCTTAGACGCCAAAGTGTTAGCGAACATTGTAAATTCTAGCTCAGGAAAATGCTGGTCTTCCGATCTTTACAATCCGGTTCCAGGAATATTACCTAATGTTCCAAGTTCCAAAAATTATGAGGTAATCAGTTAAAAATTTTTTCGTCATTCATTTTTATTTATAGTACATGAAATCATAAAAATGAAATCTATAGAAAAAATTGGAATTTCGCCAAATTTTTTATTATAAAATTAATAATACTTATAATTTATTTTTTGAAATGAGTAATTTTATTGTAGAAAATATAATTGCTTTATTTTTCTTATTTTTCTTATTATAAATTATAGGATCATCGATAATAAATTTTATTTATATGTCAAGCAAAGCTAAGTAAATATAAAGAAAATAATATAAGTTAACATATATATATAGGGTGGTTTTGGCACAACATTGATGGCCAAAGATTTAGGATTAGCTCAATCTGCTGCAATCAGGACGCAAGCTCCGATTCCTCTCGGTTCTCTAGCACATCAGATTTATAGAACAATTATTGCTCACGGATTTTCGAATAAGGATTTTAGCGTAGTTTATCAATTCCTTAAAGGTAAAAATTGAAAAGACTTGAAAAAATATTAAAATTACATTTATTCAAGGATGGGAAAGTTACTTTTTAAAAGTAACACGTTACCGTTACTTGTTACCGAGTAAAAAAAGTAAATCGTTACAGTTATTAATTACTTATTTTTAAAAGTTATTGTTACCGTTACTTTAAAAGTAACGATTCGTTACTTTTCCCGTTACTTTTAATGTTAAAACAAGATAGAATTAAATAAAAAATTTATTTTGATAATATTTTTTATTAAAATATTAATAAAAGTAACAAATTTTTTATTTTAAATTTACAAAACTATAAAAAATTTAAAGAGATATAGATTTTAAAGCACTTAACATGTAAGTAAAAAAATTTTAATTTTCATTAAATTGATAAATGCAGTTATATTTACATTCTTTTGTGCTCTCGTCTGATATTACTTCAAATTTATAAGCTGGCCAATCACATCCATTCCTCAGAAGAATGGATATATTGGATAACAGGACATATAACTGGACATATAACTGGAATAACTGTGATTGATCAATGATATTATTAAGCGCTCTCAGAGATGTCTGTGAAGCTGGCACGACAATCTACAAATTTCAAAAAAATACTAAGAGTTCTGGTAGCACTTTTCATAGCTCTAAAGTTCCTGAAAATTAATAAATAATTAAATAATTATTTATAAAATAGTAAACGATTGAAACTCTGTGTAAAAATGTTTCTAAAGGATAGAACTTTTATAGAACCGTCCAAAACTGCCGTTAAAATTAGGGAAAATCAGCACGACACATTTTCAATAAAGGTCGTGCTAGTCGAGGACATTAAAAATTCATAAAAAATTTCGATTTTTTAATATAAAGGAATGCGGAAACTCTTTTTAATTTTTATCAGGAACTGTGAAACTGTAGAACTATGAAAAGTGCTATCAGAACTCTTAGTATTTTTTTTTGAATTCATAGATTGTCGGTGCCAGCTTCACAGACATCTCTCAGAGCAATAAATTTCATCCGAAGTATTATCGAATTTTATATAAATGTCGATTACTAAAAATTCAATATAACGGAAATACGATGTTAGTAAGTATTTTCAAAATATGAAAAGTAACGATAAAAGTAACTGTTAAAATCGTTATCGTTAACTAAAAAAATGTAACTGAAACTTAAAATCGTTATCGTTACAGTTACAGAAAAAAATATAACGCTGTTATCAGTCCGTTACCAAAAAAAAGTAACTATAATGGTAAAGTGTTACAAATAACGCGTTACTTCCCAATCCTGCATTTATTAAATAATGGGAACATAGCACGTGAATGAAATATATAGAATTTATAAATGAGACGATCTTATATATTTGATTATAAATTTAAAATTACATTTAAGAGTTTTATTTTCTTATTATAAAATTATTATATATTTGCATTTTTATTTTCTTGTAAGAATATACGTATATAAATATATCTTTTTTTTTCTTTTCCTTCTTTTTTAATTTTTTAATTGTAAACTGTTCTGCATTATTGTACATTCTTTCTATAACCTACAGAGAGCGCCATGTGATAGACCGACTAAATGATTTCTACAATGTATGTTGATAAAGCATCTGCGCGTTAATATTATCAAGATATGATAGAGTATTTAAAAAAATATATCTAAATTTATTTTTTGTTGAAATGTTGAAATACATATAAAATATTGAAAATATCGAAAAAATGAAATAAACTTTTATTTTCTTTAATCTTTATTTCAACTTTATTTTTCTTTATTTCACTTTATTTTTCAAGTCGATATATTAGTATGCTATATTATCAATACCTTGATAAATTCATACAATAATAACTAAAAAAAAATATATATCGATAATTTTATGTATTTACTATTAAAATATTATATCATATAAAATCCACATTAATTTTTTTATTTCATTGAATTAGAAAAATAAACAAATTTACATAAAACAGAAATATTTTGTCATGTTACATTGCACGTTGACTAACGCAATATTCATTTATATTCAATATTATTAAATTTGTCCCACAATCTCTCTTCTAATAAATATTTTTAGAATTTAGAAGTAAATTTTACGCAAAGTATAGTTAATATTACACAAATCAGGTTTATCAATTAAATTAAACGTATTAATCAAAATGTTTGTATATTTTATAACTGCATTAATATTAATTATTAGTGATTATCAGCAACAAAAAAAGTTGCAAAAAAACAATCGATATTAATTATTAATAATATAATAAATAATACAATAAAAGTGAGCCAAATGTTTTTGTAAAAATTCTATTGCAATATAAAATGTAGAATTTTTTTGTAAAAATTCTATTGCAATATAAAAGGATAAAGTAGAAACTTATTGAACTTATGCGAGTAATCTTTTATATTTACTACAAATTGTTTTGAATTTCATAAAATTTATTTATAAACATTACATAAACATTACAATGGATACAAATATCGATAATATCATTTATATAAGCAGGTATAAAATTATATAATTGATACATTTCATATTGCACATATTTTACATATCATTTTTCACATTTTTTACAATCATATTTATACAAAAATAAGAGAAATGATTTAATTGTAAGATTAGTTTTAATATTATTAATTCTGTGTTTTAATATAAATATATAAGTGTATAAACGATTGCTCCATTTTATTGATATAATCTAAACGTAGAGATTGATATAATCTATGTAAAGATTTAAATGATTCTGACATTTTTTCAAACAATTTCTTGATTCGATTATATGATTTTCCTTCAAGATTGTATCTTTGATCAGATATATAATCAAAATTGCGTGACATTTCTGTAATAATTTATTACTTTCCGCGTGATTAAAAGAATGAATATAAGAAATGAGAAATTTTTAAGAAATATTTGAAAAAATTTTATGTATTTTCTTTAACTTCAAAATTATCACGTGATACCAGAGATGATCGCGCCGGCCCTGAGTCTTGCGCTTGCGCGTTCGATATCACGTGACGCAGCATTCGCACATTCACAGTACGCAGTACGCGACGAGTCGCCATATTGACTAGTGTAGTGCGATCCGCCATAGCTGTCAGTTGACGGTTTTTTGCTGGGCGAGAGGACGAGAGGGCAGTGCGGTTGATGCGGCTAGTGCCCGTGCGAGCTCGAGGGACGCTTTTCCGCTAAATTTCCGTGCGTTTCGCGCAAACAGGATAAAGAGTGGGAGGGAGAGCTCGGGGAAGGAGCGAGGAACGAGCAGTGCGTTGGAAGCCACCGTCGACGATCAGTCGGGAAACACGGTCGCGGTGTTTTTCCCGCCGAATTTTCGCGAGCATAAGTAGGCGCCAACGATTCGAGCAGGCGGTTTCGTATCCAGCAGTCGCTCGCCTTCGGATGTGTCGCTAGTGTATATATATATATATATATATATATATATACATATATATATATATATCACGCACGTGCAAACCGACTCCTCCCCGCCGTACATACGTATACATGCGTACGCGCGTGTGTGCTTATCGAGGAATAGGGATCTAGACGAGACGCGTGCATAATATCCGCGGAAAAGCAGACCAAAGTGCGCGAGTGCTGGTGAACATACACACAAGAGAGGAGAGGGAAGAGATAGAGCGTGCGGCGAGACGAGGAAGAGGAGAGAAAGATGAGCAAGACGTGCGCTCGCTGCGAGAAGACGGTCTATCCGATCGAGGAGCTCAAATGCCTCGACAAGGTACGTAAGCTTCGATCACTTTATCCTTGTTCATCGCGATCGAGAAGAATTCGAATCCTCTCTCGAGCCTGATCTTCGAGGAAGCGCTTTTCTCGAGAAATTAGGAGCGAGAGCAACAGAGAAAGAGAGAGAGAGAGAGAAAGAAAGAGAGAGAAAGAGAGAGAGAGACACAAAGGGAAATGGACAGAAACAGAGAGATGGAAAGAGAAAGAGAGCTAGCCATTGCGGGAGAGATGTACCGTTCCATTGAGAAGGGCTCGGCGACCTTCGCGCTGTGTCGGTCTCTCTCCGTCGTGCGTGCGTGCGTGCGTGCATGTGTGTGTGATGCACGCGTGTTTAACGCTGCGGAACGCTCCACGCTCGCCGAAGGGAGTCTACTTGTTGCGCCGCGACATGACGCGACTCGAGCGAACGACCAGGCTTGTTACATGTTGTAGAAAAGTTGTTTGATTTAATGCCAATTAATATCTCGCGAATCTCAAACGGATGAAATTAAAAAAGGAGTCGGATATTTTTGTCCGCGCGCCGTTTTCGTAAAAACAAGACGAACGAGATGTTTGACATACGTATAAAGGATTGCGAGATGAAGTTTTCCACGAGGTTGAGAATATATGTATTTTAAATTATAACAAATTCGAATTGAATTGCGTCAGTATATTCTAAAAATTGAGATTCGTGCATCTGTTTAACGATAACATTATTTTCCATCAATGATCAAATCGAACAAAAAAATTAAATAGAGATAAGAGTGTCGATCATATTTAGTATCAAGTGTTTTAATTATTCTCTCATTTCTCGAAAAATAATATTATTGCCGAGTATTCATTTTTTTTGCACATTGAGCAAGAAAAATACGAGTTTAATTGGATAATTATATGCATATTTTCTACATAGGAATTATATTTTTGTCCGATTTTTATAAAACAACAGCGAATAACTGTTTCTAGCGTAATAAATAAAGAAGTCGGAGATAAAGACGAGAAGATAAGACAGGATGAACATCTCGTTCGATTGCACGCACTTTAGCTGCTTTCAAAACTCGAATCTCTCTCTCTTTCTCTCTTTCGATAACTCGTTTTGTAATGTTTATTTCATTTATTGCTATCTGTAAAGTGATAAACATAATATAGTATTAAGATCATCTGAAAGAACTTAGCTTTCGCATTTAAATTACAATACGAGAATTAATATTAAATTATATTTAAAGTTTTTTAAAATTTATTGAGAGTATATATATATATGTATTTAATAAATTTTAAAATATTTTATATATAAAGTTGGCTATTTATATGAATTAAATAAATGTGAATTAAATAAATATCAATAAGTATTAAATTGCGTTCTCATTAAATATAATTTCGTGTTTTTTAACGATAACATGATACACAATTTATCGTTTATAAGGATTTTCTTTTTCAATCATAGTCGGATGTAATATTGTGCTCGTGGCGCATGGAAAACGGGTACGAGCATTTTTCGAGAGATGGATAAACGGAGTGGGAGAACATGCAGAATGTACCGTTCGCATACCGATTGCAATGATTTGATTCAACGTTATAACTCTGTGGTATCTAGAAATTTAGATTGCGAAGAATTTAATAGTTATAATTGCACGACATAATTTTATTCTTTATTATATTTCATCAGATAGCAAATTATACAGACAAGAAAAGATGGCAAGATTCCTTAGAAGGAATAATAATAAGAAATAATATCTAGAGACGTCAGGATAAAACTGTAGGAATACTTACACACTTACATAATTTTTTATACTTTTTTATTTATAGAATTGTTCTTTTATAATATTTCTGCATTTTTTAAATTCATAAGGTGTGCATTCTGCACGTTGCAAGTAACGATATTTCGTGAATAGTAATTGAAATATCAGCATTACATTTACATATACTACTATTGCTACATAAATTTATTTTGAAACAAATAAGTTGTATTAGCGAAGTATATTTTGTGTAGTTTTTCTCAAATAATTTTTAGATCAAAAAATGACGGAAATTTAATGATAATATTTATTCTCATTTAAATTTGTTTACAAATATTATTTAAAATATAATTCTTGTTGGAGTTTTTACTTCGTTTTAAACGCCATTCAAGTAGAATATGACACTCACTTTTTTTACTTTACTTATTTATGTCAACTTCCGCTGTAATCGCGGATAAACCTTGAAATTCTAGAATTATGATTTGCATTTTGTTCAAAACATGAACGTGTTCTGCTCGAATCCTTGCTGGTCGTGCCATGTGTTTTTATCATGAAAGACCATGGTGTGTAACTCCCGTTTACTTCTATTCGCTGTGCTATAATTTATCCGACTCATTCTTGTGAACGACCTCGTAGGAATCTGAAATTAAGTCAATTGATTATAAAAATTTTTTATTCCAATCTTACGGTATTAATATCTTGGAGTTCTATCTCGTTTAAATATAATTTATAAATACAAACTTATCTATGTGAAGTGGAAAATATTTAATTAAAAAAAAATGTCATGAATTTACTTACAATATTCGTAGCACTCTTTTATTTTTAATAGTATATAATACAATAGTATAATATTGAGAGAACAATATATTAATAATATTTAATAATTTAATATTTAGTATTTAATAGTTTAATAGTTTCATACTTAGTATTTAATAGTATAATACTATTATTTAAACAAAAATTATTAAAAATAATTATATTTAGATTTAAAAAATTATCTAATTATTATTGCTATTGCACAATACATAAACATGTAAAATAAGCATGATTTTATGATAAAAAATTACATTTAATGAAAGATAATTTGTTTAAAAGGCCTCTCATATAAAAATAATGAGGATAATCATATAAAAGCTTTGTTATTTATTTATTACACAGTTCATCATTTAATTTTTTTCGGGCAGTTGTTGCCAAGATGTTAAGAAGATTAGCGCATTATAGCGGATCAAAACTTTTTCTACGATAGATTACAGGATGTACCGTTCTCGTTTAGTTCCGCTTACTGAATCGTCCTCCACTCGCCGTGATATTCTTCATCTCGTTTATCCTTACGTTGAATGACCGATATGAGCAAGCAGTCTCTACATGTAGAAAGAAAAGGAGAGAGGGAAAGAGGAGAAAAAGAAAGAAACTCTTCTTGCATATCATTGCATTTAAAGAATTCTAATTTAATAATAATATTAAGTAATTTTTTTATTAAATTATTCTATCCAAGAAAAAAATTTTTATGCATCTATATTAGATATATTTAACTGAAACATAGACTGAGACTTTTATATTTATTAACAATCTTAATCCACGTTTTAAATATAAGATACTAATCGATTTTTAAGAATTCTCTTCATTCTAAAACGGTTTCCATATAATTCTGAGCATATTCATGCATTTTATAAATATGTAGTTCCAAGAATAAGTATTATTATAATATATTTTAAATAATTCAACCTTGAAAGAGGGTATAGATATGTATAGATATGAAGAAGAGGCGAATATTTTGAATCTAATACTTAATAAGGTATCTTTGATGTAAAAATAAACGTATAGACGATGTTTTAAGCACATCTTATTTATATTGCTCTGTACTAGAGGGTTAATAAAACTCGCTATGAGCGAGTTAACGGGGCTTAAATCATGTGGGCGGCGTTCCGCGTTGGAAAACGAGCTTCGGGGATTTGAGAGGAAGTCAGGATCCTAAATTTGGATGCGTATCGAGCCACACAATTGCCACGTTAGTTTTCTAAATTCTCTCGCATGCAGCATACATTTATCGCATTTATCGCATTTTATTGATTTTATTGCTCTTTCCACAAGCGAAATAAAGGGAAACTTACTTTGCAACATGAAGCTTTTTTTCTTATACGAACACATATTGACAAAACTTAATTAATTTCAATTAATATTTTAATGATATAATAATAATGCGCATTTAGATTTTCTGTTTTTATCAATTAAATTCTCTTGATTTTGAACAAATTGCTTGAATATTATTTATTTTTTTAAATACGTAAGTTTTAATAACTTCGTACATATATTTAATTATATTTATTTATACATAATATAGAATACTAAAAACTATTTAACATACATATATATGTGCATACATATCATTCAAGACAACGTACAATGAAAAAGTGGCGATTATATTTTTTTTCGATTAATTAAAAAATAACCAATATCCTTATAAAATCTAAAGTTCCAGTCATAAAAAATTGAGTTTTATCGTGAAATAAACTAAAAATTTTGCTTGGTTTAATCAAAATGCTTTCTATCATATACGTCTTGTGTTAATCAAACGATTTTTCTCAGTGTAAGATTTCTTATAAAACGATTTATGTATTCTTTGCGATTCTCTTGGTAGATCTTGTTTACGCTAGAGTGTTTATATCTGTTGCTATCGCATGTTCTCGATGTTTTATGAAATTGCGGTTGCGAGTTGTAACTATGTTTCTCCCGTTTTCTCGAAGAGAGAGAAAGAAAAAAAACAAATGGAAGAGTGCGGCACGATATGAAGAGATATTGAGACAAGACACATTATGTTATACGATCAACAGGCACAAGACAAATTAAAGACACAAGAGATAAAGGGGAAAAGGTTTAATGAAAGAAAATGCTCGTATTCAACTGATCTCTCTCTGACAATGAGTCGAGTGAGAACTAGTTATACGCTAGTCGATATTTTTTGTTTTTCTCTTTGCGTTACTTTTCAATGGTTTAACGCCTGTCAAAATGCTCTTTTTGATTTATTTTTTAAACGAACAGTTCATTCAAAATATGTTTTATTCCTTTGGTTATATGAATAATTCTATATATAATATTTTATTATCAAATCTTAATTTATATTGTTTTTATTAATATATATTCTTGTTTGTTATCAATAGTAATACTGTAAAAATACTTATTAAGATTTACAAAAAGGTCATGAGAAGAATAAAGAAATGTGATGTTGAATAAAAAAATAGATAAAATATTAATATATTTCAGAATGCTTAAATTTATTAGGGTT